AAAAAAAAAAAAAAAAAAAAAAAAAAAAAAAAAAATCAAGATTTGCATTATATTTTGTCTTGGGAACAATAGGAGCGACCCATCTAATCGATAATTTTAAACCGTTACATGTACGAAAGAAACGGTAAAAATATCTCACAACGGTTATTAAGAAAACGTTTACATTGTGGCGATTTTGTTCAACTATAGGGTCGACCCTATATTTAGTTGAAGATTCAAACATTTAACCTTCATCGTAAATGTATAATACTTCAATAATCGAGCTAAATTCAAGTTGGGTCTTAAATATATAGCTTTTTTAGTACATCAAACGTGAGATATAAAGATTTAAACCTCAAAAAGGTACATGTTAATTATCGCTAAACTATGTTCCGTTTTACTAATTGCTTGTTTAATGATGTTCGGTCATGTTTTTAATTGTGTTAAAATTTGTAAAGTTATGATAAGATTTAAAAAAATTGAATCAGTCCTTTCAATCCAATCAATCAAATCAGTAAAGCCTTAGAATTAGTTTTTGTTAGGGAGCCAATGAAGAACTAATTACGTCCTTGTGTTGTCTGCAGAATTGTAGTGCTTCTGTGGGCAGCCATGGATACCTCCTCGCCCAAGTGCTTATATTTTCAGGTACCCTTTTAACCTATCTTCTTCTTCTTCTTCTTCTTCTTCTTCTTCTTCTTTTTTGTTTCTTTCATATTCAGTTTAAGATCTAAATTCTTACCTTCAAATGGGCTGCTTCATAATTTCATAATTCTATCCAATTTTGGATATAAATTTCTAAAACTAATTCACATGGGAAGTGGGAATTTTCAGTTCCTTTTGTTCAAGGAGAATCAAAGTTTATGTATTATGTCTTTATAATCTTTTTAGGTGAGGATAAGTGATTTGTTTATTAATTTTATTACTTCAATTACGTGCAATTTAAAAATTTGAACTTTATAGTTTTAATCGAAAATACATGTTTAAATAGTTGAATTATGTTTCGAGTCTCTTAGAAGAGACGTTGGAAGGAGTATATTAATTTCGGAAAAATCTACTTTTTTGAAATAGAGTCAAGTGACCCATATTGTTATTCAATTGACAAGCATAGCTTTTATACGTGCGTTGTTGACCTAAAATCGTGTAAACTAGAAATGAATCAAGCACTAGTAATTTTCACGTTAGTTCTAAAAGCATTATTTTTATTGAGATATTTTCGTTCCCTATCGTGTGAGTTGTTTAGTAGAGAACTCAAAACTTGTGGTGCGCTGTCTATTCCGTCTCTTATATCCTCAAGAAACCCCCCTTCTTTTTCGGTGTCAGGTCCACCTTTTGACTGTTAAAAATTCACGAACCATTTAGTCAAAAGTGCATACTTTAAGAGTCATCGATGAAGAAGAGCTTTCTAGACTATCCTCCATACTATTACTTATGGGACTAAATAACTCGATCGAGTGTGTACTCGGAAGCCACACAAGTCTTCTCTTTTACTGATTCTAATATATACTGTAAATAAAAAAACTTAAATTGAAATTAGTCCATAAAAAATAAAATAAAATGAAAAACATCTCTTATGGTGATTGTGATGGCCAAGTCATGAAGGAATCTATCAGTGGAATCTGGTGGCTCACAGCCACAATTTTACACGGTGATCGTCGACGGCCTTCCACTTTCCAACCCTATATAACTGTGCTCCGTCCTGGCCGCCGCCGTCAACGTCTCCGTTTCCCTCCTGGGTTCTGTCACCTTGCGGCGGTGCTCTCCGAAACTGCTCCTCTTTCCAGTTTCTTTCATTCTTCTTCTCTCTTTATCTGAATTTGCTTGTTCTGGCGTTTTTTCTTCCGATTTGGTTAAAACCCACTTCAGATTTCGTAAGATCTATAAAAAAAAATGGCATCTTTATCTGTTATTTGTTCAAGTGAAGGATCAGATCCTGCAGATTCTTGTCCTCTTTCTTCTTTATTGATATCATAGTTTCATGTTCTCAAAAGGGTATCTAAATTTGATATCAAGCTTTGATTTTTCCCCCATATGAACACCGATCAGATCCTTTTAGGGTTTCCCTGTTGCTATAGATCTTCAGTTTTAAAGGAAGAATTTTGAGCTTGTTTAGGGCTTGCTAAAGGAGCTGCCTTTTTAGGGTTTTCTCTGCTTTTCTTCTTAGAGGAGTCTCAAAGATTGTTTCTTTATGTGTTTTGCTTCATGGGTTTTGTTGTTTTTCGTTATCAAACAAGAATTTTTTATGATTCATATATTGTTCTCATGGAGAATGGGAAGAACATATTCCTTTTTCTTGTTTTCTGCTAAAATGTTTCATCTTCTTGAGCAATAGATTGGAATTATTGAATCTCTTCTCTTTTCTTTCCTTTCCATTTTTGGGTGGGGAATCTTTTATGCAACTTAAATGCCAAAACCTCACTGGTTTAGGGTTTTAATGGTGAAGAAGCCAATTAATCATGAGTGGAGCAATTACTCCCCACTAATTTTCACCCATTGGGGTGTTTTGCATCAAATCAAAGGGAATAAATGGAGCCAAAGTGATGAATGTTAGAACATTATTGTGATCTGATGGATTAGCTTTGCCATCTTAGGTTGAACAAATATAGGCTTTTAACATTTATTATTACAATATCATAATAACAACTAAATTAGACCATAATGAACATGAAAAAGCTAAACAATTTTGAATTTAAATGGGTTACTCTCGAATTTTAAATTTAGAGTCATCTTTTACTCGAAACAATTTTGAATTACGATTTCGAGTATTAATTACATAATATTATTGGTGATTGTGCAGAAAGAAAGTGTATGGGAAGGAGGAGTGGGTATTGATAGGTTGCAAAGAGGACACTCATTATGACAAGACTCTTATACTTTCTTTGCCTTTCAAATGTCATCTCCCTCACTCCATTATCCACAACTAACTAATGTTTCAAATCTTTGGTAAGTTTTAACAATTTCCATTCATTATTTTTACCAAACATCATCTCTTCTTCACTTGCTTTTCTTTTCTTTTTTTCTGATCATATAACTTTTTGTATTGTAAGCTTTTGTCTAAAGCGTTTGGATATTGTGGTTCGGATATATCTCAAAATTCCCTTACTATTTATTCATTTATTTCAATCCATATCTATTTAATTTCAAAACTTCCAAACTCATTTAGTAGATGGGTGTCTATACAAAGCCGTTCTCTTGTTTAGGAGGGTACATAGATTGGATAGGAAATATTTTTTAATCGACTTGAAATTTTAGGTTGATTAGGTAATTGACTTGAAGGGCACGAGTAGAATTCATACCTCAATCCAACCCTCTATTCTCTTGCGTAGTATAATTGTTTGTTCAATTTTTTTTAGCATCACATTGATATTCATAAATCACAATGCTATCTCTAACATTTGTTACGAATATAAAATATTTTTAATGTTCATAACAATCTTAAAAGTGGGGATGAGTCCGGTAGTGAACCCTATTTAACATACCTTACCCTAATAGTGTAATTTATATTTTTATTGTGGATTTGTGATTTAAAATGAATTGGGTTAGAATATCAATAAAATTTAAAAAATAAAACAAAATTTCAAGATATTCAAGATTTTAAAAACGAAATTCGAAACAAAACTTATGATAAACGAACAAGGATATAACTTTTATACGTATTTGTACTATTTTTATAACATAAGTAATAGAATATATGTGCTCGATTAAAAGATTAGAATCGAACGAATGTATAAGATTAATAGAAAAGAAAACACTTATTTTGAGCATGCTATGTTCACAAAAGTGATATCATATTTCAGGGGTCCAGAAAGAAGAGCATAGAGTTTGTTTGCAAGCCCAGCAGCAAATGAGAAAGAAGGAAGATAATGAGGTGTGAATAGGTACTGTTTCTTACCTCTTTTTGTAGCCTCCAACCAAATCCATTACTTTCCTCTAGATTTGTAGGAACTAATACACATCTGAAACACAAACAAACTGCACCTAAAATACTTCAACAAATTCAATCATGAACATATGTCAAAGGAATGAAGATTGACTATGAACAGAATTCTAGTTAGGATAGCGACTCGAGAGCTCTAGTTCCCACACCCAATAGATATTGTCTTTTTTGGGTCTTCCTTTGAAGACTTTTAAAACGTGTCTCTAGCTAGAGGGAGGCTTTCACATCCTTATAAAGAATGCTTCGTTCTCGATGTGCAATCTCACAACTCCTCCTAGCAGACGTGCTTGGAAAACCTTGAGGGAAAACTCAATAAAGAAAATCCCAAAAAAGACAACATCTGCTAGTGGTGGGATTGGGCCGTTACATTATAGTAAAACGTCGAACAGTTTGGTTTGTTGATAAAGCTAAGGATGACAGCAAGGTGTTACAGAAATTGGATAACATTGATTTGAAAAAGACACTCATAGTGAAGCCTAACATTGGTGATATAAACTGGGATCGCATTTTCTTTGACATGACAACAACATATAAGCTTTGTACTTCATAAACTCAGTTCCACTACAATTATTACAATCACCAATACTAAACCAAAAACTTAACCTTTCTAAAGTTGCTACTAATTGGAGCTGATGTTTCACTAAATTTGATATCTTATGACATGATTTAGTGGGTTTATGTTGTTAATGGAACTACTTTAATTAGTGTCATTAATCAGTGTTTAAGAATTGGAATCATGCACATTTAGAGAAAGTGGGGATGCCTAATCCCTTTCTCTTCTGTCTATTCCATCACTTCCTAAAAGCTTTGCTCTAAATCTTTCATTACTGCCTTCGAAGTAATCCACAGACCACAACATCACGAACAGTTTCGATTAAAATAATAATAAAAAAAAACATAAGAAAAATGTGGATAAGGAAGAAACACAATACAATAGAAATGTTTCTATGTTTTACATCAATTTGGAACACAAAGTGAAGAACACAACACACCATGAAGTTATCAAAATAACAATAATATTTGTTTTCCACTTGATACCTCCTAGGTTTCTTTTGAGGAAATTAAGAAACACCGCCACCCCATGTTGGATTATAACTTATCCAAACATATCAGTGTCCTCAAATTCATGCTGCTGCATAAAAATCAAGTGGGTTTAGGTCAAAATCAAAGAAAGTTACAAACTTTAATATATATATACTCACCGGTTGAAGAAAATTTAAAGAGGAAATTGATGGGCTCCATTTTGTCATAATCTCAAAGGAACACAAGTTTTCAACCTCCATGGAAGGGTTGAAATTGTAGCTGTGAGTACCTCCTGATTCTTCCCCACAAGTTTCAAAGGGGCTGCTCCAAGAACAAGATGAAATTTTGTTGTGATTTGGATGATGGTGATCTGAACAATCCTTAAAGATTTGATTTTTCTTCTCCATTGTTCTTGCCCTGGCTCGTTCCCTGGCCTTTTGTCTCAATTCCTTGCACATGGTTCTTCTTGGCTGTTTGTCTCTTTTCCTCTTCAAAGAACAAGAGTTCATCTTTTTAGGTCCTCCTCCTCCGCCGCCAACTTCATCAATTCCAGACACCATGTCAGCCTCGGAGGAATTGGAATTAGAACAAACAGTAGTAGTGATGATGTGGCTGCAATTTCTTTGCTTTGCAAGTTTCAAAATTTCAGGGCTGGCTTGAGTGAGCAGCCATTCAACTGTTTTGCTACCTTTGTCAACACCCAACAAATCTTGTAACCCAAAGAACTGACGAGCTACTGGCAGTGAGAGCCTCATTCTACGGTCTCTTAACCCTCGAGCTGTGGTGATTTTGCTATGTCTGTCCTTTTTGGACAGTCTTTTTCTTGGGATTTTGAGCTTCTTTTGATCTGAATTCCCAATGCCCACCTTCTTGTTTGAGGCAACAATGTTGTCAGGACTTGGAATGGTAAAATTCTTCTGAGAATTAGTAGTGAAATTGTGAAGTTGATCATCATATTGTTCATCAACTTCAAAAGGAGAAGGAAAGGGGAAGAAAGAGATGGGGAGATGAAATGAATGGTCATGATCATGATCATGATCATCATCATTTTTGGTGGAGAAGAACATGTTTTTGTGTGTTTCTATATGATTTAGAGCCCAAAAAACGTTGAAAAAAAGGAAGGAAATAAGGAAGTTGTGTTCAAACTATGGAAAAAGACATAGATTTGATATTGAAGTAGAAAGAAAAGAAAGGTTCACATCCTTTTCACTCCCTCTCTTTCCCAGTAATTTTTTTTTTTTTTACCTTTTTTTTCTTGTTTGGAATCTGTTGTTGTGTGTGTAAAAAAAAAAAAAAAAAAAAAA